CAACTATAACAAATATTCTAAGCTTGAATTCGTGAACCCTGAACCAGAGATTCTGGGTTCGATCCCCAGCAGAGTCGCCAGAGCTGTCACACTTCCTTTTTACCACCTCGGAAGGGAGTATTAAGGGAGTTTTTTCCAATTTAAGTGACAATCGAAATGGGATTATTTATTTTTAAAAAAATTAGAGTCGCCACTTGGTATAATTTATGGTGTCCCAAGTCACCGGTTTCAAATCCCAATCGAGGAAAGATTGACTCTGTTTTACAGTCCGCGAACACAGAAATCTGGATAAGGAATTTTGTTAACCGAGAGAAGGTGTTAGGAATTCCTGGGTTCCATGGTTTTAGCACGGTCGCTCAACTATTGTTATTGGCCTAATTATCTAATTAATTACACATTTAAAACCTACGTGCCCTTTTTAACCTTTTAGCCGTTTTTCTTTATTTACGAAAATTTCAAGGTTATTTAAAACACATCGCGAACCACGCTACATGAAATGCACCCGTGATTCACGACACGTTCTATTTAACCTTGTTGGAAATTGGAGTCGGGTCACATGAAATGCACACATGGGCCCCCTTTTATCTAATTTGATGTAGTTCAATTGATGAATAGCAACCCATTTCTATACTATGACAAAATCATGTTCAGCTATAACCAATTCGAGTAAACATACGAGCAGATAACTAAGTGAGCGAATTCAGAACTATGAAGAACAACTACAATTCAGAACTATGAAGAACAACTCCACAAACAACAGAATCATACCACCAAACAAATAATTAATATTAAGCTTGAATAAAACAAATAGAGGAAGAAAAAGTTGAACCTCAATATAGCCGGAAAATTGATTGTTTCACTACTTTGAACTCGAATCAACTAATTTGAGAACCTCGGCAGGTTCCAACTTGAGAATGACATAATGATCAATGCTCTTGAAATCCCAAATCACCAAACGCCCATTACAATTCTCGAGGATTCGTGAATTGGGTAACCAATATTTTCTTGATTTTCTCAACACAAAGAGGCTTATGCACTTATGACAGGACCCTTCGCCCAAACTATATGGTAACTGAATCTTGACCAGCGCCAGTTTGTATATAAAACACTAAAATAGTGAGTAGTATAAAAATTGACGTAGTTGCCTCATATGCAACAAGCACCAAAAAAAAGTTCCATAAAACAAACAAACAAACCTTTTTCTTTCTACTTTCTGTCTAATTCTATGCTTTTGTGCTGTACATATGAATATATACATAAAAATGACAAGCAACAATGGAAATATGAACTTCAAGGCACTTGGTAGACAGCGATGATTCGAACCAAAAAACTTGGAAAACACAACCTCCGTTAAAAGAATTCTTCAATGTAACAGTGGAGAGAAATCAGAAATACACAGTCCTTGATTCTGTAATCCAACGAGAAAGAACAATAAGCCTAAAAATAGACTTTTTGACCGAAAACTAAAACCTAGAACCTCGAATTTTGCTCCTCTTATTTTCCACTCGTCCTTGTTTCTGTGCGTGTGAGTGACTGTGGGTATCTAGTGGAAGGGTCATTGTGTGACCAAGCTGATGAGGGAAGGGTTTGGTTTTTGGGGTTGTCGCTGGTTTTCCTTAGTAGGGATTTCTAGGTTCAGGTCTTGTACTCCAAAAAGAAGAAGGGAAATGGCTGAGTCTGTTCACTTGCTAGGGTTCTGTTCTATGGGTTCTATGAAGAATAAAAAAAGTCGATGGGGAAGGGGTCGTGTATGGTGAAAACGGTTGATGCCTTCTCTTCTTAGGTCCTTAGCATTTGTAGCTTAGGTCTTTTTTTGAAGAAAAAATCTGAAGCTCCCCATATTGCGGCGTATTTCTTCTCTATGTGTGTATAGGTCTTCGATAGAGGGTCCTTTGGGGTGGGGGGCTATGAAGAAGATGAGGCCAAGGGGTGTCGAGAAGATGAAGACGTGAGGAAGGGAGGGGTCTGTGTGTTGCGGCGGGTCCTGTCTCTATCTTCTTCTTTTTTTTGTATTTTTTCCACTGAAGGTTGCTCTAGGTCCTAGGGTCTTTAGGTCTAGGTTGATTTTAGTCTCCTTAGGCCTTGTTTTCTTATGTCAAAATCTGATGAGTTAATGTTTTTAGAGAAAGGGGGAAGTTGGGCTAGGTCTTAGCCATTAGGGTGGGGTAATGGGCTAAGAAGATTGGGCTTGGTGAATTGGGCTAAACTTGGCTTTTAATTCTATACTTCTTGCAATTTGGACAAAAAATTAATTTCTTTTCTAAAATAATACCATAAAAATGTAAAATTAATCCTTATTAACTAAAATAAACAGTCTTATATTATGAGACTATTTTGATATTTTTTCAAGATTATATAAAAATAAAATCATAGTAAAATAGTATGGCTACAGAACATTAACGAAACTATTTTTTGTAATTTTTAATTTCTTATAATAAAATAAGTAAAAGAGTCAAAATTAGTTGAAATAACGATATTAGGTCTAAATTAAATATTTACATGCTAAAATATAAAAAATCTTGTGGAGGGTCAAAAATCACATGTCTACAAGGGTAATTTACGGGTGTGTGATCCTTATGATGTTGTGTGAAGGCTTTCTTTTCTACCAGTGGATATAGGTGTTGTGATTTGAGTTTGGATTAGTTGAGAAAGTTGACATGACCATCAAGAGGTCGAATGCGAAGAATCAAAGTGTACAAATCAATCCGAAAGCTTCTTGGAACGAATCTAACCAATCCCACAAGTTATAAAATCATAAACATGCATGTTTGAAGCATCAAAAGGGGGTAACGAGGCGCAATCACACAAAATAACCGGTTGAGGCGTTACACCAACCTTCATTGGTGATGGTCTAGTGATCATTTTGCCTTGATAACAAGCATCACAAGAAAATTCATCATTTGTAAGAATCTTTATGTTCTTTAATGGATGCCCACTCAAATTTTCAATAATTCATCTCATCATTATTGATCCAGGATGGCCCAAGCGACCATGTCAAAGCACAAAAGTATTTGAATAAGTAAACTTTTAGTTTACGATAAAGTGTGTTTCAACTGTACTAGTCTTTGAATAGTATTAGCCATAAGATAAAGTTAGTGACTTTCCTACAATGTACTTCTGGCCCGAAATATTATTTGTAATACAAAGATATTTCACATTTATTTCATCCATCGTTTCAACATGATACCTATTATGGCGGATATCCACAAAACTAAATAAGTGTCTTCGAGACTTGGAAGAGAAAATACATTGTTTATAATAAGTTTTTTTTCCCTTTTAGAGCCTTCAGTCAAATTTATATTACCAGAAATTATAGAAATATTTTCCTTTTCCCTATGCAAATATGAAAAGTATTTCTGATCTTTGAATATGGCATGAGTTGTTCCACTATTAATTACACATATATCTTTATTATTGATCTTTGATCCAAACATAATTTGAGGTTTATCAATAATCTTTAGAATAAAATAAATATTATAGTAAATATCATTATCAAAGCATGACGTTTATTTATTTACAAAAATTACATGACCACACTATCTAATACAAACAACAAAAATTAAAATATTTAAATTTCTACATATTCATCACTGATCACATGACATGTTTTTCCTTTTGGGAGTACAAAGAAATCAGCTACATGCAAATCCATGAAGTCAACATTATCTTCAGAAATAAAATTAGCCTCAGTATTTTTGTCTATCTTCCTTAGGGAGGCTTGATAAAGCTCAACAAAGTGCTTTGTCGTACGACAGGTACGTGACCAGTGTCATTTTCCTCCATATCTATAACATGTATTTTCTGTATTTGTTATTTGCACCTCTTCATGCTTTTGTTCCTTCCTTTTCCATTGCTGGTGGTGAGGAGGATTCTTTGGTACATTATAACTACCATGATTAAAGTTTCTTCCCGGCCACGGCAATGACCTCTTCCACGCTTAGCTTGGTGGAAGTTCTTCTCATCCACTTCAAGGAATGGACAAAAATCAGTAGGTCGACTTTCATGATTTTTTATTAATAGCTCATTATGTTGCTCGACCACAAGAAGATGTGAGATAAGTTCAGAATACTTTATGAATCTCATCTCTCAATATTGCTGCTACGGGAGCATATTCGAGGCATAAAAGGTGGTGAAAGTTTTCTCCACCATATCATGATCAGTAAGATTATCGCCACATAATTTTAATTGGAAAATAATTCAAAACACAGAAGAGTTAGCTTGTAGCCTTAAATGAGTCCAATCATAACGTGCTTGTGAAAGAACGACCATTTCCAGGTGGTTATATCTATATTTCAAATTATTCCACAGTATAATTGGATCTTTAACAGTGAAATTTCATTGTCAAGCCTTCATCAATGTGATGGCGTAAAAATATCATTGCTTTGACACGGTCGTGGTTTGATGCCTATTTTTAATCCTTGATTGTGTCTGCCAGACCCATCACATCAAGATGAATTTCAGCATCAAGCACCCAAGATATGTAGCTTTTGCCCGATATATCTAGGGTTGCAAATTCAAGTTAAGAAACATTTAACATTATTTAAAAAAAAGAAGTTCGTACCTTTGATATTTTTAAAGTATTTGCTTGAGATGACAGAGTGTCGTGTTGATAACGTGTTATAAAATAAAGACTATAAATTAAATTAATCTAAGATAAGTATAGAAGAGACAGAGAGACTAGTATATTACTCAACTTCAAACCGATATATATAATGAACTGAGATCTCTTCTATTATAGAAGAAAGAAAGCAGCTGCAAGGCAAGAAACAACTGCAAGGCTTTTCATGAAGCAGTTGTGACACTTTTTTTGAGCTACTTGTAAGTTGTTTGCATGAACTATTCATAATCTGCATGTTTAATAAAAAGTTGTTGCAAATCATTTTATTGAATTGCTTAACTGCTTGCATATAAACTTTAATATATTACTAAATTGATAATCTCGAATAATAAATAAACATCCGGAGTATAATATTTTCGTAACATTGTTAAATTAGTTGAGTTTTAAAGCAAGATACAAGTGACAGGAACCAAAATAACAAATGCTTGGCACGTCATCACCTTCGAGGAAGCGAACACTACTATATTCAGCTACTATCAGTATAGTTTACTATGCCGGAAAACCCCAAAAGACTTGCAAGGGTTGTAGTCGGAGAAAGCTTATGGGGGAGAGCGTAAGGGTTCGATTGATATTCAAGGAGCGGCACATTCTCAGCGAATTACAGGAGAAATCAGAGGGTCTGAGCCATAGTTGGTTCCTTCTCAAACCCCAACAGCACAGAACCATCTCTGACCTCTCCTCTTCTGTTCTTCACACTTTTCAGCTCCATCACTCTTGTCCTCATGGCCTTCTCCTCTCTGTATGTTTCATGACTTTTTTTTATTTCTTTTTAATTTTGGGATAGTGTTTCCTTCAATTTCTTGTTGATTCAATTACTGCTTTTTGTTGCTTAGTTCCGGCGTCTACTTTTTGCTTTGTGTTCCTGCTTATTATCAGCTTCAACACTTTGGTCCAAACACCTAATTTATAAAATAAGGTTCTAACACCTAAAAGTGTTCTTCAGCATTGTTTATTAGCTACTTTCTCTATTTCATTGAGCACCTACGTACTGCTAATTTTTCCCACTGAGGTGTAGGCAGATGGTGAAATCACCTACTTCCTCTATGACCCTATTTCCTTATTAGTCGGTTACAAAAAGAATGACCCCCTGCTAAATTTGGATTCAATTTAACTTAAACTTCCTATCTTACTCTTAATAATAAACTTTTATAGCCATAAAGATGTTATGACATGTTTAAGACCATAAGTTTCAAAAGCCTTATATGCACCCAAATGTTATGTCATGTCTAAGATTACAAGTTTTAAAGGTCTTCATTTTTTACTTAAACTTCATACCCAGTCAAATAGGTTCACATATATTAAAACGGAGTAAGCACCTTTTTTGTTTTACTGATGGGGGTGAAATTCCAGTGTCTCGTGGTCTTTCATTAACCACTAGGCCACATCCTTTGGTGCTTGGTTTGTTACATTTGTTGATCGAGCCTGGATATATAAAGTATCTCGGGCTGCGAATTAACATTTCTATTCTCTTGCAGCTGACATCACATTATTTAAGTACTGGCTCACTTTCTTGTCATATACTTGCAGATGGATGGCTTTGTCTTGCCCCCTTTTGAATCAACTTGTATCTTGAAGGATAATTCTACAGTCAGGTTTTGCTTAATTGCCGCTTTGTCATCTATTAATATCATCGTTATTATTATTACTATTATTCATAAAAATTATGTTTTCAAAACTTGTACACTAGTGTGAAGAAGAAAGGAGGTGTTTTAGCCATTCAAGGAAATGATACGCCTAATATAGCTGAGAATATCAGAATTGTTGAGAAGCAACCAGTAAACACGGGACAATTGCTGTTGGCAAATGAGGAGGAGTTTGACAATGAATCTGGAGGTTATGAAAGTGAAGAGCCCGAAGATGAGTATGAAGACAAGGAAGAAGGAGCTGACCCAGTAAAACAGACTAGTGCACATCTGGAAAATGCTTTGGGTTGTAATGTGATCTCAAAGAAAAGAAAGGCATCGGAAACACTTCCTAGCTCGAAGTATTTCTTCATTACTTGTTTGGTGATTCTGATTTGCCCATACTTTGGCTTTAATTTGTAAGGCTCACAATTGATTTCTTGAATCTCTCTTCTTCAGGAAGAAGAAGCATTATTCTGAAGTTGCAAAGGAGGTTGATGAACAGACCAAGAAAGCTCAACAAGATCTCACAAGCAAGAAGAGTCTTTGCAAGCAAAAGAAGGTAGCCGATCCGGATAGCAAAGATGTGGATAATAACAAAGGAAGTGCTGAAAGTAGCAAGGTTAGTGACAGCATTTCCGGCATGAAGAGGTACGCTATTGATATCTGTAATCTCATTCTTTGAGTGATTACAGTTTATTTTAGTTTAATATTGCTTTACTTGGTCAGTTTCTGCCAATTTCTTGGTGTATTTGCTTTGGAAGCCTTACTGTGGTCATTACTTAGGGTACATTCCTTCCCGCAGAACCACTTAGTTGAGGATTTAATCCTTTCCACTGCCACCATTTTGGGATCAATCATTGAAGGGGTTTCTTGTCTTGTTTCCATTTCGGTGTGTATTTCTTTGCCCATGTATTTTCTTTGCTAGTTTTTGTGTCTCAGTTAAGTGTTGCTCGCCTCTTGTATGGAGTATGGATTTTGGTGTTTGAACATATGGAACAAGATAGTAAGAAATAATACAACATTAGAGCCGCATTGGATGATAGCCTGAATACCCCATCTTTCCTTTTTGGGCATCTTGTAAGAGTCTTAAGTTTATCTTTGTCCATCTTCTGCTAGTGAAAATCTTGAATTTATTTTCTCCATAATGAATTCAAGTAATTTGCCCTCTAATCTGATATTTGCTTGCGTGGCTTGATAAGTTAATCTTATTGATAAAAAGTGCAAGATCCCGGAAAATTTATATTTAAAGTTGTAATATCTCTTCTGATGACTTAGGCATTTCGAAGTGCATCTTGTTCTGTTTTTATGCATGCAGAGATGTCCAATATCTTGTTAGGTTACTGAACATTTCTTCTGTTTCTATAGAAATAACAAGGTTCAAGAGAAAGGCATGGAGAATGTGGAGGCAACCCCCAAGCCTGAGGGTGTTAAAAAGGTATATTATTACAACTTTTATCATTTAATTGAGAAATTGGCAGCAAATAGTCCTTTAGTTGGTGGAGCTATTTCAGAAGATTGTGTGAAGCTTTGTAGATTAATATGGCATATCCACTATATTAGGTGTTACTTGAAAGTGACATTTGTTCTTGTCACAAACTCACCTGACATGATCAGATGTTATAGTGCGTATCAGATTTGTTGGCTAGTATAGTTCTTCTACTCATACTACTAGATAGTCTGTCTTACAAATAGTTTCACTTAAATATAAGTGCGAATCGCTTTTTTCAATTTTCCTTCGGAAGATTTGCATAAAGCTCTTTTAGTGCTCAGATATTGATTCTTCTTTCTGTCAGGGCCCTAGTAGAAGTGCTCGGAGACAATATGCGAAAAGACAATGGTTGCGAGAAATGATCAAAATTTACAAGCAGCATGCAGCTTCCGAATCAGAGGGACCTGTAAGTTATTATAAGATGCAGATTTGCCAGCTATTATTTCCATGAGGTATTATATTTGCTCGGTGCAATTTTACAGCAAAACGGGAAGGAATTGCAGGCTAATGCTGGAAGAAGAGCTGGTAAACTGCATTCAAAGTGGCATGTTGATGGTGAGACTGATGGAAGACCAAGGGGACGTGTGAGTAGTGAGATACCCAGAAGTACTTCTATCACTTTTGCTTCTGCTTCATGTATTGGAAACTTATATCATAGACTCTGCAGGGGAATTGGAAGCAACAGCAAAATAAAGCTAAAAATCAAGAAGTGATTGGCCAACCAAAGGGACTTGTGAGTAATCAGACTAACACAAATGTTTCAATTCTTCTGCCTAGTCTCATTTGTGTTGACAAAGCACTGTCTCACATGTAGCTACATTGGAAGAAATTGCGCGAAGAAGATAAGGGTAGAAATACAAACAGACAAGAGCAGACAAATGAAAAAAGCACTTTGTGTGGAAAACCAGGTCAACACAGTGATGTGGAGGATGAAGTTGTTCCAGGTTGTTCGTTTATTTATGACTCAGTTATCTGTTTTCCCCCCTTCTCTGTCGTACTCTCTGTCTCTCCCTCCCAACTTTTCAGGTGGAAGACTTTCCTACCAGTTTTAAAATATTAATTTGGGTTAACCACTTCTTTCACTATGGTGTCAGATTGCATTCTTTAATATGGAAGAACTCTAGAGTCTAAAAATCTTCTGGTTGATGCAGATCAAGCTTTGCAGCAGGATCAAGTGCAAGAGGTAGGTTTGGCCATAGTTTGTATTATGATGTTCTGCCTACTAATTTCTCTTGAATTTCTATAAATAAATCAAAGCAAGAATTCTAGACACCAATAGTAGAGTTGTCAAGTAAAGAATTTTTCTAGAATGTCATTTTGAGATTCACCATCCAAGCTTAACAATAAGAGATGCTAATATAAGGAGAAAACAGATGGCAAACACAGTATCTTTATGCATTATGTGGACTATTTGGTTGGAAGAAATACAAGATGTTTTGAAGGAAAAAAAAGCAGCAGCCCTGTCATGTGAAAGACACATGTTTACAGAGTTTTTTCTTTTGGTGTAAGGATAAGGAGATGGAAGATCTGAATCAACTTTTTGATATTTTGGATTCTATGAATTTGATGTAGATGCCGACCCCACCTTGTTTGGAATTGAGGCAAAGTTGTTGTTGCTCCTTTTGTGTACACTTGTTGTATCTCTTGGTACCCATTAATGAAACTTTACTTTATCCACAAAAAAGAAAAAAGAAAGAAAGAAAGAAAGAAAGAAAGAAAGTAAGGAGATGTTAATATGCTTTACGTTATCTAGGGGTTAGTGTAAGTTCAGCGCTGAGCCGGAGGAAGGGGGCGCGGATGTGAGGCTTGAATCACATGCTATCCCAAGTAGAGGCAGCTTCAAGTACCTTGGGTCGGTTATCTAGGGGGGAGGGGAGATCGACGATGATGTCACAAACCGTATTAGGGTAGGATGGATGAAGTGGAGGTTAGCATCTGGAGTCCTATGTGACAAGTGAGTGCCACCAATACTCAAAGGTAAGTTCTATAAAGCGGTGATTAGACCGGTCATGATGTATGGGGCCGAGTGTTGGCCTGTTAAGAACTCACATATCCAGAAGATGAAAGTATGAGGATGTTGAGGTGGATGTGCGGACACACTAGGATGGATAAGATTAGGAATGATGATATTCGGGAGAAGGTGTACGTGGCTCCCATTGATGACAAGATGCGGGAAGTGAGACTCAGATGGTTCGGGCATGTCCAAAGGAGAAGCTCAGATGCCCCGGTAAGGAGGTGTGAGCGGCTTGTTGTGGAGGGCACGAGAAGAGGTAGAGGGCGGCCTAAGAAGTGTTGGGGAGAGGTGATCAGACAGGATATGGCGAGGCTTTAGATTTCCGAGGACATGATACTTGATAGGAAAATGTTGCCATCGAGTATTAGGGTTGTAGGTTACGAGGTAGTTGAGTCTTACCTTACTTCGTACCTTTATGAGACTAGTCTGGTAGGATTTTTGTCTAAGATAGCTATTGGCAATATTGTGTCTTACTATTACGTTTTTTAATGCATGGCTTATTTACTATCTATCACTTTTGTTTTGCATCTTTCTTCTGAATTTAATGTTGTTCCTATTTTTCCTATGATGTATGTGGTGATACTAATATTGCCTTCCTTTTGTCTTTTTGTTTTCTTGAGCCGAGAGTCTTTCGGAAACATCCTCTCGACTCCTTCGGGGTAGGGGTAAGGTCTGCGTACACACTACCCTCCTCAAACCCCATTAGTGGAATTTTACTGGGTTGTTGTTGTTATTGTTGTATCTAGGGGTTAGTGTATGATTAGCTCTAAGTTGCGCCATAAAGGAATCCGGGAGTGGGGAAGAATCCTCACTGGAAATGGTCATGAACCATTTAAGATTTCTCCTTTATATAGGAGTTTGAGCTACATGAAAGAAAAAAGTTAGTATTAAATAAGGAAATCAACTATATTTGGTTATCTCAAGTTGTTTCTAGTAAGATGCATAGAGATAACTCTATTTGTAGAGGTACTTGTGCTGAGTGAACTTGAATTTATATCCTTTGCGTGAGTGGATCTCTATGTATTATCGTGTTTAGTGCAATCTCTGATCTTAATGCTAATTGGATTAGTAAACTGCGTCTTTTCGCAGATAGATTTTTCGTCACTTCTTGAAGCTCACCTTGTCAAAAATGGTACTTCAGACTCTGTAGCAGGACTATCTGGTTGGCCCAGTGAAAGTCCTGCTACAAACGAATCAAATCCAGTTCTAAGCGCTAGTGATAAGAAAACTGATGGCCCAGCTATAGGTAGATATTTTTGTTATTCCACTGCTTATATAGCGGAGTTGGAGGGGATTTCATTAGATCCAAGTTAGTTTTCCTTTTCATATGAGCCATTATAATTTGACTGTTTCTACCTATAAAAAAAAAGGCTATTTGTGGAATTGACCTGTGGAAAACAAGAACATTCTGTTCATAAAGATGTGAGACGATGCTTTCTGCCAACTCCTTTGATGATTAGCCATTAGTGAATTATAAATTCGTTGGTTGTTGAATTTCCTAACTAGATGTTGACTATGCTTTAATGTTATTTGCAGAAAATGGAGTAAACCTCTGGGAACAACTGAGTGAGACTATAAAGGCGAAGATGGGACAGTAACATATTAAAAGTAGGTGGGGTAAGGGGATCTCTGGGGAGCGCTCATGGTCACATAGAACCTTCCTAGAATGGCCTTTCGAAGATCTAAAGAGGAAATATGAGATGAAGCAAAACTTGTACATATTGTTATTCACTCTCGGAATTTTAGCTGAATGAAGAGGGCGAACACCGCTTTGGCAGGTATCTGGGGAAAGTTGCTGCTTATAGTTGCAGCAAGTTAGTGGTCTTAACGCGTTGCCCTGTGGCTAGTGTTATCTGTAAGTCTATCCATTTGTAAAAATGTTCCATATGTAGCTTGCCGAAAACTTGTTTACTTTTCTTGTGCTGTACTGCAAGTTTCTTTCCAAAACGGGTTTGAGCTTTTGGTGTAAAGAAATTCTAGCTTGTGTATGCTTTTTCCTAGCATTGAGTCAACTCAATGAAAAGGGGATGTGATAGCCAAGAGTTGGGCAGCAAACTAATAAAGTAAGGAATTCCAGAACGAGGAACAAGGATTATACTAGAAAAGAACAATGGAATCTTATAAAAGCATTTGAGACCTGGTATGCATTGAAGACTAAAGAATGTTTCAGAAGAGTAATCATACTGAATAAAGTGGGGGAAAAAGAGAGGTAATGTTTAAAAAATAAAGTGAGCTAGTAAGAGGTAAAACGAGCTGGAGTAATGTTGTAAAGCAAGGAGCGATTAAACCAAAGATTATTCAGTGAGTTGTAAATAGCTAATTAGCCATAAGGACAACGTAATGACAAAAATGAGAGAGAGTCGTAAAGAGATAATTAGCCATAACGATAACCTTGGGCTCCAATCATCTCTCACCGGTCATATATATGTCATTATGACTATACAACTGCGATACGTCAAATTATCCGAAAGCTCATATTGTGCTTGTGCGAGAGATATAGCTAGCTTTTGGCCATAGATTTTTAAATTTGTTTTAAAAAATTTAATTTTGGTGAAGTTTGGTTTGAAGATGAAAATCTGTTTGGACATAATTTTTTAAAAGAGTATTTCATTTTATTTTTTTTTGAAAAAACATGAAAATTTGACTTATACCCATAAGTTCTAAAACTATAAAAAATATCCGACAATACCAAACAAACAAACTTGCTAATCCTGTATATGCAGAACCTTCATCGATGTCATTCAGTATCATTATCACAAATCATAGTCCTGAACATAGATAAGTTTAGTACAAAAATATTATTTTTATAATGAACTACGTAATGCACTATCTTAAAACCATAACATGATATTTTAATATCAATTGCTAATAACACAATTACTAGCCACTATAATTCGTCAAATTGCAATAATATTACAAGATTCATCAGTTCAAAAGAAAATGATAGTAATTAGCTTGTGGTTAGTTGGGTCATAATAGACTTGATTTTTTTATAAAATCCAAAAGTTTGAGGTAATTTTTGAAATTGTTACAAAATCAAACAGTGATGTTTTGGGCCAAAAACAGATCTAGAGCTAGTTTTGGGATTTGAAAATAAAATTTTCAAAATCCGCCAAAACATGGATAAAATCTATGAACAAATATGTTTTGCTAAAAAAAAAATTAAAAAAAAACTTGGCAAAATCTATGGCCACGCGGGGACGTAAAGTAATGTCAATATATATATGAGTAAGTTAAATAATTGATATGAGTTAAATAAATTTATTCAGGACAAATAATTGATATGAGTAAGTTTTAACGCTATCATAATTCAGGAATTTATATAGTGAAAAATTGAGGATGATGCCCCAATTAAGGTACTTCCTCTTCTTCTTTTTTCCCTTTTATACATTGGTTAAAAAGTGTTTTTTTTTTTGTGACGGCCGGGATTAACATGATCATGGCCAATTAGCTTTCCCAATCAGTTAAATTAAATGGTCCAATTTGCAAAACTATTTAAAAAAAGCTAATCCAACAACCTAAATTGAGCCCACAAAAAAAAAAAAAAAAAAAAAAAAAAAAAAAAAAAAAAAAAAAAAACTAGCCGTTACGAAAGCCAGAAGCGTCCATAGCTCACCGGTTCAACCTACCTTCCCAATCAGTTAAATTAAATGGTGCAATTTGCAAAACTATTTAAAACCAAGCCCACCACCAAAAAAAATATAAAAAAATTAAAAAAATAGCCGTTACCAAGCCAGAAGCGTCTAAAGCTCACTGGTTCATCTTTTTTCTCCATTCACTTTAATGCTACAAGCAGAAAAAATACCCTAGCAAATCCACAATACAACAAAATCCCCAACTCCGATCAACTTTTTCAGCAACAATCACATTCCTCTTTTGATGGATTCAAACGACAAATCCATTAGACTTACGCCTAAAAAATGCTCCAAAAATTCAGAAAATATGAACCCCAATGTGGAACAACACAGTCCTTATCTGCCAAAATCTTCTAAATCACCATCAATGGCGAAATCAGCGAAAAAACCCCAAAATTCAGTATCCAGAAACCCTAACGCAAATCAATTGGTTTCGCCTTCTCCCAAAAACAAAATTCGCCAAAGGAAGTTTGTGATCGCAAAGAAGAACAAGTGTGATAGTGATAATTTTAACCCTTCAGTGGCTTGTAGTAAGTGTAATAAGGCGGGTGGTGGTGAGAAAAAGAAGTGCCTTTGTGTTGCTTATGAGAGCCTCAGGGCTTCTCAAGAAGAGTTTTTCAAGAATCGCGGTGGAAATGAACACGAAGAAAGTGAAATCAAGAAGTTGGATAATGTAAATAGCCCTGAAATTGGCAATGGAGAAGGAATGAGTAACCAGTCATTGACTCAAAACATTGAATTGGGTGAATTAGTTGAATTGGATGGTCGTTGTGTGGCTGATGAAATGGTGGAAAGGGCAAACGAGGATGTGGGTTTGGGTGAAGTGAGTGGTGGAACTATAAAGAGGAGGATGTTGGAAGAAGCAAGACAAAGTGTATCTGAATCAGGAAAAGTGATGCATTTAGTTAAGGCTTTTGAGAAGCTTCTTTCGATACCAAAAACTAAGGAGTGTGAAGGGGAAAAGGAAACCGAAGATTCTGGAACGGGACAAAAAAGGGCATTGCCTGGCTTACAACCTCCTAAGATTCCTGCGACAGAGATGTCTTCTTCTTCGTTTTGTCCATCGGATTTTTTCCTCACCTATGAGAGTTTAGGCTTGGATTCGCGTCGTGCCTCCTCATTGGATAGCAGCCACAGAAGGTTAGTAGTTGAAACTTTAAGTTAGTTGTCAACTGATTGCAACCCTCTTCATTTAGTGGATTTATATAACTGATTCCTATTAGTTTAGGATTGAGATGTAACTTTTGTTTGTTGGTTGTGCATTTATTCCTCATTTGAGTGCTGGAAATAGATCATTTTTTTCCTTTTCATAGCTTCAGTATTTCAAGCAGGACTTCAGGTGGTGGTCGAAGGAGCAGACACAATGTAAGGATAGTCTTATTATCAATCATTGTTAGGATGGAGAGGAAATCATGTTGATCTCTATACTCTTATTTTCATTCTCAATGCTGCAGAGCGCTGAATCATCAGGCACATATACTAGAAGAAATGGGAAGAGAAGGCAGCTCAAAGCGACCTCACAAAAGCCCTTCAAACTTAGAACTGAGGTTCGTGAGTTGTGTATTTGCTTGATCTAATCTTGGTTAATTGATTGCTTCTTGTGCAACTATGACCAAATATTCAGTTGCAATGTATTTGGTCGACATGCACTGGCTGCTACCGCAAATAGTGATATACACAGAGTGGACACTGAAAGATGGATTGAATCCTATTTTGCTAAAAGAAAATCAGAATGTTGGTCATTAAGTAGTGCACAACGGAAGAAAAAAAAATCTATATAGGTGATAACAATAAGTTGAGATTAATTTTTAGTCATGTTAGTGCGTTTACTTTAGGTCCAATTTTGGCTAGGATTTTTTTGGTCTTGTTAGAGATTTATATGCTAGTAGAAAATGTGGTGAACTTCTAGTGTTAGAGAAACTAATTATTGAGTATAATATTGGACCGAGATGGGATTAAATGGAGTGAGATGGATGTCGAGGATTCATGGAGCTGACACCCACTTGCTGCTTGGGGTTGAGTCATAGTAGTTGTTGAAATCCCTCTGTTGATATTTGTAATGGTCATTGTTCCCTGATCACTAATAGTGGACCTATTCTTTGATCCACTAGTTAATTGTGTCCCTTCAGCATTGAGATGCATCAGTATCTGCTTTTTCAGTTTAGGATGTCATGTCGAATCCAATTAATCATTTACCTGTTTACTTAAGGAGTTGCTTAGATTGGCTATTGCTGCAGGAAAGGGGAAAATGTAAGGAGGAAGAATTTTTAGAGAAGGTGCAACAAATGGCGGAGGAAGAGGAGAAACAGCGGATACCAATTGCACAAGGCCTTCCATGGACAACAGATGAGCCAGAGGTAGCGTAAGCTTTTCACTATTGTCATTTCCAACCATTAAGGACTTTCGATGTGAATGGATTGATGTAAAAATTATCTTGTTTAACTATGCCGGAAACTTAAAAGGGAATGCATCTTGTTGATCTCATATTTTGGAGACTGGACTCTTTTGAACCAAAATCAAAGAGAAATTAAAGCAAAATGTTATTGAAGTTCATGTTATTACCTCTCTCACTATGCACAAATCTTTTGCACTTCAGATTATACTTAAGCCTGTTACGAAAAGAAAACTGAATTACTCCGTTTTCAACTTTTCAGTGTTTGCCAAAGCCTCCTGTAAAAGAGAGCACAAGGCCTGTTGATCTGGTGCTGCACAGTGACATTAGGGCAGTTGAACGTGCTGAGTTTGACCATCAGGTAAACTTTGTTTATTCTTTACTGACTTCGGTCATGCATTAACCTAATTAATTTCTCAGTGAAAGGGCAGCTTTAATTTCGTATAAAATGCTGCCATGAGTATCTAATTTTTTTTTTCTCATCGAGAATATTTCATATGAAACATGTAAATGTTATGTATGTCCTTGCAAAGAGATTCTCAAAGCAAGTGCTCCAATAAGAGGAGTGAGGACCCCAGCAAATTTCTTCAAGTGAAAGTGCTAGTTCTAAAATTTTGTTCGAGGTTATGTTTCATTAGGAAAGCATGTGAAATGCTTGCATGACTCTTTCATTCAGGACCTAGGCAGGCACTTCTGGCCCTAAATGGCTGTCTTTGCATGACTCTTCATTACTCATTTAGAGGCACAGTACCTTATGTTCGTGGTTTCTCCATGGTTGCATCAGGTGGCAGATAAATTGAGCTTTATTGAACAATACAAGATGGAAAGAGAGAGACTACAGAAGGTAAGCAAGCAAATATTCTGGGATTAAATTACGTATATGTATTTTTGCACTTACATTCATGTTATCTTGTTTGATTACTTCTTCTAGATGGCCGAGGAAGAAGAAATTAGGAGGCTGAGAAAGGAACTTGTTCCAAAAGCTCAACCAATGCCCTACTTTGACAGACCTTTCATTCCTAGAAGGTAATCAGTCTCCAACTTAACTTTATGGTACCTTACAAAATGTTGCTTCTTCTAATAAGAATATACAAGCTTACATTACTTCTAAATAGGGAAAGGATATGTTTACAGAGTCTCCAACTTTGGTGTAAGGATAAGGAGATGGGAGATCTGAATCAACTTTTTGATATTTTTGGATTCTGTGAATTTGATGTGGATGGCGACCCCAACTTGTTTGAGACTGAGGCAAAGTTGTTGTTGTTGCCCTTTTGTGTACACTTGTTGTACCTCTTTGTTCCCATTAGTTCCCATTAGTGAAACTTTACTTTATATAAACTTTAGTTGAAGTATAGTTCGTCGAATCAATCTCTCTTGATGGGATTTTTCTAGTAAGTAACGAGAAGACTAATAGTATCGACAATAGCTGAAACTGTCGGAAGTCCTATTCTTCCCAACCGAATAAGCACTTTTGCAAAGTTCACCTTCCCCGGTCAAAACAAGACATACGGATAACAATTAGACCTTACCAGGGATAGGGACTGGACTATAGAACCTAATTAAAAAAAAAATTCAGTGCTTTTTCAATTCACATCTATGAGCGAGGATTCCTCTATCTCTTGCTCGCTTGATCAGACTCTGACTGCTTAGGGAAGAATGATGGGTCGCTAACAAGGCCCCTAAATGACCACTCAGAAAGCCTTCGTTTTTTCCCCCAATATGACACACCCCTTGGGGTGCGGCCCTTCCCCGGTACCCTTCGTGAAAGCATGATGCTTTGTGCACCGAGCTACACTTTACTTATGTTACCTAAGGGTTAATGTATTTTTTCCCCCAATATGACAGTCCCGGAACAGAACAATCTTGTGTCATAAGAAAAGCTATTATCCAAATCGAATTTTCCTTTTTTTTTTTTGATTGGCTTCATCCCGAACGTCCCCCTTGGGGTGCGGCCCTTCCCCGGTACCCTTCGTGAAAGCATGATGCTTTGTGCACCTAAGGGTTAATGTATGATTAGCTCTAAGTTGCACCATAAAGGAATCCGTGAGTTGGGAAGAATCCTCATTGGAAATGGTCATAAACCATTTAAGATTTCTCCTATATATACGAGTTTAAGCTAACATAAAACAAAAAAGTTAGTACTAAATAAGGAAATCAACTATATTTGGTTATCTCAAGTTTCTTCTAGTAAGATGCATCGAGATGACTCTATTTGTAGAGGTACTTGAGCTGAGTGAAATTGTCGTCTTTTCGCAGATAGATTTTTCATCACTTCTTGAAGCTCGCCTTGTCAAAAATGGTATTTCAGACTCTGTAGCAGGACTTTCTGGTCGGCCCAGTGCAAGTCCTGCTACAAACGAATCAAATCCAGTTCTAAGCGCTAGTGATAAGAAAACTGATGGCCCAACTATAGGTAATTATCATTGTTATTCCACTGCTTATATAGCGGAGTTAGTTGGAGGGGATTTCATTAAATCCAAGGTAGTTTCCTTTCCATATGAGCCATTATAATTTGACTCCCACACAAAAAAATTGACTGTTTGTGGAAGTGACCCGTGGAAAACAAACACATTGATTAGTCATTACTGCATTATAAATTCATTGGGTGTTGAATTTCATAACTATATATTGACTATGTTTTAATGTTATTTGCAGAAAATGGAGGAGTAAACCTCTGGGAACAACTCAGTGAGACTATAAAGGCGATAAAAGTAGCTGGGGTAAGGGGAGCTCTTGGAAGAGCTCGTGGTCACATAAAACCTTGAGAGGCAGTGCTCTTGGTCCTAGAATGGCCTTTCGAAGATATAAAAAGGAAATATGAGATGAAGCAAAACTTGTACATATTGTCATTTACTCTCGAAATTTTAGCTGAATGAAGAGGGCGAACTCCGTATCAGAGGAAAGTTGCTGCTCATAGTAGCAGTACAGTTAATGGTCTTAACGCATTCCCCGGTAAATTGTCCCATATGTAGATTGCCAAAACTTGTTTACCTTTCTTGTATTTGTAGTGAGAGTTTCTGCTCAAAACTGGTTTGAGCTTTTGGTGTAAAGAAATTCTAGCCTGTGTATGCTTTAGCATTGTTTCCGTTGGGCAGCAAACTAATCAAGTAAGGAATTCTATAAACTCACCAAAGACACAAAAGACCGCAAGAAAGACTGAATTCGAAAGGTGCATTTGAGACCTGGTATGCATAAGGAAACAATTTCCAACCTAGCTGAGGAGTTCAAAGACTAAACAACGTTTCAAAAGAGTAAGCATACTCTTCGTGGAGGAATGAAGGGACAGCAAGTTGATAACCTTAAAGTGAAAAAAGGAGGTATATGTTTAAAAATGAAAATGAATTAGTAAGAGGTAAAACGAGCTGGAGTAATGTTGGCAAGGAGCGGCTAATTATTAGGAGAGCTGACATTCTTTCTTGGACTCCAGAAAATGGGATATTTATCTGCCAAGCCAAGTATACGAAGTAATTAATTCAAAAGTTTGGGATGAACGATGCCAAATCAATTGGAACACCTACAAGTTTAGACAAGGATGAACATGAAACAAAGTACCATGGAATGATTGAGTTGTAAATACCCATAAGGACAAACCTAACGACAAAAATGGGAGTGTGTCTTAAAGAGATAATTAGCCATAACGATAACGTGGGGCTCCAATGACCTGTCACCGATCATCTGTGTTGGTTTTTTTAAAAAATAACGGGGCAGCAAAAAACGATTTAAAATATTGATTGAAAATGATTCTACTTTTTTTATTAAATATAGAGGGCTTTAAATAGCCAACTTGAAAACATAATCTACAGAAATTTTGCATAATAGGAATTCAAAAAAGGTAAAATATCTCAACAAACCAGAAAAATCTAACAGAAATTTAAATTTTAAAAAGTAAATTCATCCTAAAACTAAGCAACTTATTATGTTAAAGAATTGCAACAGTAACTGAAGTAAATTTTAAAATAATTGGAAAATAAAACAACAGGTATTTTTTGGTACTCCTTTTTAAGCTTTTCCCAAGCTTCTTTTGTTTACATTATATTTTAGAAAAAATTGATTCTGCAACTGAATTTTGAATCACAATTTTACTTTATATTTTTTGATTTTCTCTTCTGAATGGTTTTTAATTTAGGCAAGCATAGGATTTGCAGGGAGCAGTTGTAATAGTCTATCTTCCATTGCAACTTCCCAAAGATCATAGGCTTCAAGATATGATTTCATTTTCACTGACCAAATTTGATAGTTTTCACTGGTGAAAGTTTGTAGGGTATTCAAAGAGAGACTGTTGCTTGCCATGTTTGAAAAAGAGTTTAAATTTGATATTGGTTAAAAATAATTTGAAAATGGTTCTTCGAAAGAACTCACAATCCCGTAAGAGCAATGATGCTCTTGATACCACTATTAGTTTTTTTAAATGATGTGGCAGCAAAAAATATTTAAAGTATTGATTGAAAATGTCTCTATTTTTTATTAAACATAGAGAACTTTAAATAGCCAATTTGAAAGTATAATTTGCAGAAAATCTAACAAGAATTCAAAAAAGCTAAAACATCTCAACAAACCAAAAATATTTAACAGAAATTTTGAATTTTAAAAAGTAGATTCATCCTAAAACTAAGCAGCTTATTATGTTAAAAAATTACACCAGTAACTGAAGCAAATCTTCAACAATATGTCATTATGGCTATTTAACTACGATACTTCAAATTATCCGAAAGCTCAACAGCTTGTGCGAGAAATGATTAAAGTGATGTCATTATCAAGAAAATATATTCGTACCCCTAAACCCCTGAGATCACTCGACTCCGACCGGTCAATTTCCTGTCATTGCTATCTCGTGCGCGAAGGGTTGCTCATGCTTCCCAAACGTCACGCATTTTTTAGGTCATTAGTCAACAGCTCCCTGGACAGCGAAATAGGGGTGACTCGCTTTCGCTACGGCTCCGTTGGGTTCTCTTAAACAAGCCACTGCCTATGAGCCGCCGACTCATTCTTCAATAGGCACGCGGTCAGAGCCTAAGATAGTGATGCTTTCGGCTACTGGACTTTCGCCATCTAGGGTGCAACATTCGGGTTGTTTCGCCTAGCTGCACGACACTTGTATTGTTGCATGATAAGTGTCTTTAAATAAACTTTATATATATGAATTATCTTATTGAGGACAAATAATTCAGTAAGTTTTTTCATTATCATAATTGAGGAATTTATACAGTGAAGAATTGAGGATGGTGTCCTATTTTTGTTTTTTTTCCTTTGACACATGGGATAAAAAGTGGTATTTTTTTTTGTGACGGAATAAACATGATCATGGCTAATTAGCCATAACCACAACCTCGTACCATCCTACCTTCCCAATCAGTTAAATTAATTAAGAGGTAAATGGTTCAATTTGCAAAACTATTTTAAAAAGCTAATCCAACGCTCCAAAACCAAGCCCACCAAAAAAACTAGCCGTTACAAAATCCAGAAGCGACTAAAGCTCACCGATTCATCTTTTTTCTCCCTTCCCTGTGATCACTGAATGCAACAAGCAGAAAAAAACCCTAGCCAATCAGCAATACGACAAAAACCCTAACTCTGATCAACTCTTAAGCAACAATCACATTGCTCTTTTGATGGATTCAAACGGCAAATCCACTAGGCTTACGCCTAAAAAATGCTCCAAAAATTCAGAGAATTTGAACCCCAATGTGGAACAACACAGTCCTTGTTTGTCAAAATCTTCTAAATCACCATCAATGGCAAAATCGGCGAAGAAACCTCAAAATTCAGTATCCAAAAACCCTAACGCAAATCAATTGGCTTCGCCTTCTCCCAAAAACAAAATTCGTCAAAGGAAGTTTGTGATCGCTAAGAAGAACAAGTGTAATAGTGATAATATGAATCCTGCGGTGCCTTGTTGTAAGTGTAATAAGGCTGGTGGTGGTGAGAAAAAGAAGTGCCTTTGTGTTGCATATGAGAGCCTCAGGGCTTCTCAAGAAGAGTTTTTCATGAATCGCGGTGGAAATGAACACAAAGAAAGTGAAATCGAGAATTTCGATAAGGAAAATAGTGCTGAAATTGGCAATGGAGAAGGAATGAGTAACGAGTCATTGACTCAAAAACTGAACGTGAAAGTAGACGAGGAGGTTACAATTCCTGTTTCAATTTCCGAGGCTGAATTAGTTGAATTGGGTGATTGTTGTGTAACAGATGAATTGGCAGAAAGAGCAAAGGAAGACGTGGGGTTGGGTGAAATGAGTAGTGGGACAATAAAAAGGAGAAGGGAAAGATTGTTGGAAGAAGCTAGACAAAGTGTACCTGAATCAGGAAAAGTGTTGCATTTAGTTAAGGCTTTCGAGAAACTTCTTTCGATGCCAAAAACAAAAGAGTGCGAGGAGGAGAAAGGGGAAAAAGATGAAACTGTAGCAGAAGATTGTTGCAAGGAACAGAACTGGGCATTGCCTGGCTTACAGCCTCCCAATATTCCCGAGACACAAGTGTCTTCTTCTTCGTTCTGTCCATCGGATTTTTTCCTCACCTCTAAGAGTTTAGGCTTGGATTCGCGTCGTGCCTCCTCATTGGATAGCAGCCACGGAAGGTTAGTTTTTGAAACTTTAAGTTAGTTGTCAACCTATTGCAACCCTCTTCCTTTAACTGAGCTTGTATTTAGTGGATTTATATAACTGATTCCTATTAGTTTAGGATTGAGATGTAACTTTTGCTTGTTGGTTGTGCATTTATTCCTCATTTGAGTGCTGAAAATAGATCATGTTTTCTTTTCATAGCTTCAGTATTTCAAGCAGGACTTCAGGTGGTGGTCGAAGGGGCAGACACAATGTAAGAATATTTTTATTATCAATCATTGTTAGATGAAGAGGAAATCATGTTGATCTCTATGCTCTTATTTTCATTCTTGATGCTGCAGGGCGCTGAATCATCAGGCACATTTGCTAGAAGAAACCGGAAGAGAACGCAGCATAGAGCGACCTCCCAAAAGCCCTTCAAACTTAGAACTGAGGTTCGTGAGTTGTGTGTTTTCTTGATCCAGTCTTGGTTAAATGATTGCTTCTTGTGCAACTATGAGCAAATATGCAGTTGCAATATATTTGGTTGAGATGCGCTAGCTGCTACCGCAGATAGATATACACGGAGTGGACACTGAAAAATGGATTTAATCCTATGGCTAAAAGAAAATCAGAATATTGGTTGTTAAATAGTGCACAACGGAAGAAAAAGATCTATATAGGTGATAACAATAAGTTGAGATTAAGTTTTAGTTATGTTAGTACGTTTTCTTTAGCTCCAATTTTGGCTAGGACTTTTTGAATCTTGTGAGAGATTTATATGCTAGTAGAAAATGTAGTGAACTTCTAGTGTTCGAGAAACTAATTGGTATATGGGCTTCTGTCGAGGATTCATAGAGCTGACACCCACTTGCTTGGGGTTGAGGCATAGTAGTAGTTGTTGAAATTCCTCTGTTGATATTTGTAATGGTTATTGTTCCCTGATCACTAATACTGGGACCTAATCTTTGATCCACTAGTTAATTGTGTTCCTTCAGCATTGAGATGCATCAGCATCTGCTTTTTCAGTTTAGGATGTCATATCGAATCCAATTAATCATTTATCAGATGACTTTAAGGAGTTACTTAGATTGGCTATTGCTGCAGGAAAGGGGAAAATGTAAGGAGGAAGAGTTTTTAAAGAAGGTGCAACAAATGGCAGAGGAAGAGGAGAAACAGCGGATACCAATTGCACAAGGCCTTCCATGGACAACAGATGAGCCAGAGGTAGCGTAAGCTTTTCACTATTATCATTTCCAACCATTAAGGAATTTCGATGTGAATGGATTGATGTAAAACTTATCAAAATTAACTATGCCGGGAACTTTAAAAGGGCACGTTGTTGATCTCGTATTTTGGAGACTGGACTCCTTTGAACCAAAATCAAAGAGAAATTAAAGCAAAATGTTATTGAAGTTCATGTTATTACCTCTCTCACTATGCATAAATCTTTTGCACTTGGGATTATACTTCAGCCTGTTACGAAACGAAAACTGTATTACTCTGTTTTCAACTTCTCAGTTTTTGCCAAAGCCTCCTGTAAAAGAGAGCACAAGGCCAGTTGATCTGGTGCTGCACAGTGACATTAGGGCAGTTGAACGTGCTGATTTTGATCATCAGGTAAACTTTGTTTATTGTTTCTTGACTTCGGTCTATCATTAAACTAAATAAATTTCGCTCAGTGAAAGGACAGCCTTAATTTCGTACAAATTGCTATTATGAATATCTGGATTTTCTTTCTCATCGAGAATATTTCTTATGAAACATGTAATGTTATGTATGTCCTTGTAAAGAGATTCTCAAAGCAAGTGCACCAATAAGAGGAGTGAGGACCCAAGAAAATTTCTTAGTGAAAGTGCTAGTTTCTTAAATCTTGTTCGACGTTATGTTTCATTAGGAAAGCATGTGAAATGCTTGCATGACTCTTTCATTACTCTTTCGTTACTCATATAGAGGACGGGACCCGAGCAGGCACTTCTGGCCCTAAATGGCTGTCTTTGCATGACTCTTTTGTTACTCGTTTAGAGGCACAGTACCTTATGTTCGTGGTTTCTCCATGGTTCAGGTGGCAGAAAAATTGAGCCTTATTGAACAATACAAGATGGAAAGAGAGAGACTACAGAAGGTGAGCCAAGCAAATTTTCTGGGATGAAATTACTTATACGGTTTTTTGCACTTACATGCTTGTTATATTGTTTTTTTATTACTTTTTCTAGATGGCCGAGGAAGAAGAAATTAGGAGGCTGAGGAAGGAACTTGTTCCAAAAGCTCAACCAATGCCCTACTTTGACAGACCTTTCATTCCTAGAAGGTAATCAGTGTCCAACTTTACTTTATGTATGTACCTTACAGAAGTTTGCTGCTTCTAATAGGAATATACAAGCTTTAATTAAGCATTACTTCTAAATAGGAAATTTGTTGGTTTACATTAGGTCAACAAAAGATCCCACCATTCCAAGAGAGCCAAAGTTCCATATGCCTGAACATAAGAAGATCAAGTGCTGCATGTCTTGGAATGATATATACGTACATACGCAACAAGAGTGAACGGGGATGAGGCAATGACAAGTGAGGCAGTCCTGCAATTGGAGATCCAAATTCTACAGGTAGAGAGATGCAAGTTCTTCGGTCAATCTAGCCAATGGATGTCTATAGTATTCTGAGGGTCAAAATTGGAGCTGCAGTTTTGCCAGTAACATGTAGCAATAAGACAGTAAATAAAAATATAAAAGCAGTTTCCTCTTTACCCCTGCAAACAGTGTAAATGTTGTCAATGTTCATTCCAATATGAATAATGCAACAAGGTTTAAGGTCATTGGCAGAGCATTGCAGCAAGAGCAAATTTTTCACTTAAAGCTCTTCTTATTTTTTCTAGTAAGCAAATGGTAGAGAGTCAAAAAGGAAAAGGAGTCCAACGACATAGGTGTTAGGTTTAGATTCATTACGTACGATATTTTGTGCTTATATTTTCACTACAATTTTCTAGAGTAAAGAAGTTAAATGCTTGAAATTGTATAGATAATAAATAAATCGTTCTTGAATGAAAAAATGCGTCTTAAGATGAAAAGCTATGTTTTTAATAAATAAATACAATTGATCTTATCTTAATGCACACTTCAACCTTAACTCTATTACAGGAACATCTTCCTTTTACAATTATTTCCAAGCATTATTTATTGTCCAAGATTCTACACTTAAAGATTAAGTTGATATTTCTTGCTGTCCTAACAATAATTTTTCCATTTTTTCTCTAGTGTAAAAATTCAGAAGGCTTATCATATTTAAAAAATTATTTGTATTCAAGGCTTCAAGCCACAACAATCTTGCGAATGAGATGGAATAAATATTGTCACTTTTTGAAGAGTATTTTTTAGTTGCCTCAAACCTAAATTCTTCCGTTGTTTATTGTTATTTTCCATATTAATATTATAGCTTGAATTTTCTCTAGGACATGTTATAGTAGTCGAGTAATTTTCAAATGAGCAAACAGGAGTCTTATGCCTTGTCGATTTATTCTGGCATTATGTAATATTTGTATTCAATATCTGACCTTTACAAATTGCAGATCTTTAATTTAGAACCTTTAATCATGTGGTTCTGAATCATGCAGTCGCAATTACAGGTTCTTGCCAATTGCATGTAATTTGTACCTATCAAGCATATCATTAAGGGAAAATTGTTTTTGCCTCGTGGCACGTAATTTCATAATCAAATAAAGACAGATTCCACTTCGTAATTTCGTCCTTGTTCTTGATTTAGGTCCAAAATTGTTACTCCAGCGTACTATGATTTTTCACGCAAGATGTTACATGGGGTTGCCTGCGAGTTTCAAATTTAATAATATGTAAACCGGGAAAAAAAAATATGAAACAGTAATATGTGTTAATAACTGCAAATAGATACATAATTTTTTTATAAATATACAAACAACTACTATTGTTATTACACCTCAATCTTAAGCAAGTAACGCTATGTAAATCCTTACTATTCATGTCGCTTCTTTCAAGCTCATCTCAATCCCATATTATAAAATTTTAATTTCTCTAGCCCTAGAAGGTCTCTACAATTGATACTGACATATGAATCTCTATCGAGCTCTAACTTACTCAGGACTGATGATAGTAATAATTGTTCTTGTCGTAACAAATATCTTTTTAGGAGTAAATAGACGCAGAATAATTTACTCATAATATCAACTAACTAATTAATGACATGGGGGGGGGGGGGGGGAAGCTTGA